ATATATATTAACATATATGTATTCATTTTGAATAAAATATTTTATAATAAAGACACTTTTCTTGTACACATCCTACACTTTATAAGAAAAAAGAAACAAAAACCTGGAAATTTTAAGATTTTTATTTGGAAAAATCAGGGAAATTTGAAATCTGATTTGAGTGGCCACCCTGTTTTAGTCCTTCTTATGAAGGACTAAAACAGGTATTATAGTATTTTTTAAGATCAACATTTATCAAAATATATTTTCGTGATTTTTTCTGTTTGTAACGTATTTTTAAAAGTCACAATTTACTTTATGTTCAATTTTATGTTTTTTATAGCTTCTGTTGCAATTCGTTTTGTAACTATGCCATCCAGTAAGAACTTTTATTTTGCTTTATAAGTATCAGTTACCTAAAATAACTTTGCCATATCTGAAGCTTGTAATTTCTATTTGAATTTATGTGCAATGTTGAAAATGTTAGCTGCAAAAATAATCTGTTATACCTTTCTTCTATTTTTCCATGAATTTATTTTTAATTTTAACTATTACGTATAAAGTTATTAGTTGTGCTATAGTTATCCGCCTGAATCGATTGTAGATATAAAATTTTTTTATTTAAATCAACATATTTACTTTTTATTTTGCTGTGTTATGACTAATGCAGCTAAAATTTTTAGCTATTAAAATTTTTAGTTTTGTTACTGTGCCAACCAGTAAGAACTTTTGCTTTGCTTTATAAGTATCAGTTACCTAAAATAACTTTGCCGTATCTGAAGCTTGTAATTTCTATTTGAATTTATGTGCNGGTCGATCCAGAAAACCGGGAAATTCAGATATCCGGGATAGCGATGGTCCCGAGCATCCCGGATAATTGGTTCTCTACTGTATCAGTTACCTAAAGTAACTTTGTCGTATCTGAAGCTTGTAATTTCTATTTGAATTTATGTGCAATGTTGAAAATGTTAGCTGTATAAATAATCTGTTGTACCTTTCTTCTATTTTTCCTTGAATTTATTTTTAATTTTAACTATTATGTATAAAGTTATTAGTTATGCTATAGTTATCCACCTGAATCGATTGTATATATAAATTTTTTTTATTTAAACCAACATATTTACTTTTTATTTTACTATATTATCCCTAATGCAGTTAAAATTTTTAGCTACTCAAATTTTTAGCTATTAAAATTTTTAGTTTTGTAACTGTGCCAACCAGTAGGAACTTTTGCTTTATAAGTATCAGTTACGTAAAGTAACTTTGCCGTATCTGAAACTGGAAATTTCTATTTGAATTTATATGCAATGGTGAAAATGTTAGCTGCAAAAATAATCTGTTATACTTTTCTTCTATTTTTCCTTGAATTTATTTTTAATTTTAACTATTATGTATAAAGTTATTAGTTATGCTATAGTTATCCACCTGAATAACATATTTACTTTTTATTTTACTATATTATGACTAATGCAGTTAAAATTTTTAGCTACTCAAATTTTTAGCTGTTAAAATTTTTAGTTTTGTAACTGTGCCAACCAGTAAGAACTTCTGTTTTGCTTTAAAAGTATCAGTTACCTAAAGTAACTTTGTCCTATCTGAAGCTTGTAATTTCTATTTGAATTTATGTGCAATTTTGAAAATGTTAGCTGTATAAATAATCTGTTATACCTTTCTTCTATTTTTCCTTGAATTTATTTTTAATTTTAACTATTATATATAAAGTTATTAGTTGTGCTATAGTTATCCGCCTGAATCGATTGTATATATAAATTTTTTTTTATTTAAATCAGCATATTTACTTTTTATTTTACTGTGTTATGTCTAATGCAGTTAAAATTTTTAGCTATTAAAATTTTTAGTTTTGTAACTGTGCTAACCAGTAAGAACTTTTGTTTTGCTCTATAAGTATCAGTTACCTAAAGTAACTTTGTCGTATCTGAAGCTTGTAATTTCTATTTGAATTTATGTGCGATGTTTAAATGTTAGCTGTATAAATGATCTGTTATACCTTTCTTCTATTTTTCCTTGCATTTATTTTTAATTTTAACTATTAAATGCAAAGTAATTAGGTATGCTGTAGTTATCCACCTTCATCGATTATAAATAAATATTTTTTATTTAAAGCAACATATATTCTGTTGACTTTTAATTATATTAAGACTAATGCAGTTTAAATTATTTTAGCTACTCGTACAGCACATTACACTCCTTCTAGTAAGTAAATATTTCTTATACCTCCGTTAGAGGAAATTTAGATTTATTTATCTTCTAATTTCGAAATCTTAGAATGTTTCGCAGGTTGAAACTTTGTTTCTAAAAAAAATGAGTTTTTAAAGCATGTACTAAAGTTTTTGACCTTTAAAAAGCTCAAAGAAAGCTAATAACTTAAACTTATCATTTCTTAGAGTCTATTCATTGAATCATTTCTAATGTATTTTTTTCTAAATTTTCTTTTGAAAGTTGTGCACTTTCTGTATAGTTGCTTCGATTCCCTTTTTTTACTTTTTTTTTAAATACACACAAATTACAAATAACTAGAAGCACCAATATATTTTAAAATACTTACACTTTTATATTGAAGAAAAAGTATATTTAAAATATGATATATGAAAATAAATAAATAAATTACGATGAAACATGAAAAAAATTGTTCACAAATTTTTGTATAATGGAAAAAATATTTTAACAGAGATTCGATTAAAGTATTTATTACTCAAATATTACTATTTTATGGTTCGTCATTATATATTAAATATGTTTATTAAATATTATATGGAAATGTATTTTTATAAATTCTCTGTTTATAATGTACTTTTAAAAATCACAATTTTTATTAAAATCAATTTTTTGTTTTTATAGCTTCTGTTGCAATTCATTCTGTAACTGTTCCAACCAGTAAGAATTCTTTTTGTGTTCCTTTATAAGTATCCTCTACCTAAAATAACTTTGAACTATTTGAAACTTGTATTTTCTATGTAATATTATGTGCAGTGTTGAGAATGTTAGCTACGTAAATGATCTATTATACTTTTCTTCTATTTGTCCTTGAATTAAATTTAATATTTGCTATTAACTATAAGTAATTAGATATGCTGTAGTTATCCATCGGAATTGATTGTATATAAATATTTTTTTTATTTAAACCAGCATATTTACTATTGACTTTTTATTATATTAAGACTAATGCAGTTTAAATTTTTAGCTACTCGTACAGTACATGTCACTCCTTCTAGTAAGTATAAAGATTTCTTATACCTCTGTTGAAGAAAGTGTAGATTTCTTTTTTAGAAATCCAAGAAATTTGTCAGATTGAAACTGTTTCTAAAAAAATCAGTTTTTAAAGCATACACTGAAATTTTTAATTTTCAAAAACGTAAAAAAAACTAGCTACTTATATTTATCGTTTTTTTAAAGCCTATTCATTTAAACAAATGTAATGTTTTTTTTTTAAATTTTCTTTAGAAAAGTGTGCATATTTTTATATTAGCTTTCTTTTACCGTTTTTACTTATTTTTTTAAATTTACTCAAATAAAAAAATAATTAACTTACACATCTATAGGGAAGGGAAAAAGTAAATATGAAATATAACATATGAAATTAAATAAATTAATCATGAAATAAATTATTCAATTAATTTTTGAAAGAGAGAAAAATATTTAAATGGAGATGAGATTGAAATATTTTCTAACCTAGTAGTACTGTTAGGTTCATCATAAAATATTATAATATTCTTGAGGATCAATATTTTTCAAAATACATTTTCATGAATTTTCTGTTTGTAACATACTTTTAAAAGTCACAATTCATATAATATTTATATTCAATTTTATGTTTTCTATAGCTTCTGTTGCAATTCATTCTGTTACTGTGCCAACCAGTAAGAATTCTTTTTGTTTTCTTTTATAAGTATGAGTTACCTAAAATAACTCTTCTCTATCTGAAGTTTGTCGTTTCCATGTAAACTTATGTGCATTGTTGAAAATGTTAGCTACATAAATAATCTAATGTATCTTCTATTTATCCTCACATTTATTTTTAATTTTAACTTTTAAATAAAAAGTAATTAGTTATACTATAATTATCCACCTGAATCGATTATTTATATATTTTTTTTTTATTTAAACCAACATATTGACTTTTTATTGTATTAAGACTAATACAGCTTGAATTATTTTAGCTACTCACACAGTACATATCACTCCTTCTAGTAAGTATAAAGATTTCTTATACCTCCTTTGGAGGTATTAAGTTTTCTTTTAATTTAGAAATCGAAGAAATTTCTCAGATTGAAACTTAGCTTCTAAAAAATTTAAAGCATGCACTAAAATTTTTAACTTTCAAAAACTTAAAAAAGCTAATTACTTAAATTTATCATTTATTAAAGTCTATTATTTTAAACAAATGTAATGTTTTTTTTTTCTTAAGAAAGTTGTGCACTTTTTTTATACTTGCTTTGTTTCCCTCTTTTGACTTATTTTTATAACATAGTTCTCAAGTAATATACAAATCATCAAATAATATACAAATAAAAAATAGCTAACTTACACTTTTATTGGGACGAGAAAAAGTAAATATGAAATGTAACATGTGAAATTAAATAAATTAATCATGAAATAAATTATTCAATTAATTTTTGAAAATGGGAAAAATATTTAAATAGAAATGAGATTGAAGTATTTTCTACCCAAATAGTATTGTTTTTTATTTCATCATAAAATATTGTAATATATTCTCAACATTTTTCAAAATATATTTTCATGAATTTTTTGTTTGTAACGTACTTTTAAAAGTGACAATTCATATAATATTTCTGTTGAATTTTATGTTTTTTATAGCCTCTGTTGCAATTCATTCAGTAACTGTGCCAACCAGTAAGAATTCTTTTTGTTTTGCTTTATAAGTGTGATGCCACAATTTGGCATTACATATGTATTTCCTTTTTAAAATAAATCGAAAACTTAATCTTTTTAGACGAACATAAAATATTTATTTCTTCTCTTCCAGATCCATGTAACGGTTACTTTCTTTTTATTTCGTTATTATGCAGACATATTAATTCACTGTCGCCTCTAATCAAAAACAAAAATCTATTTATAACTTTTTATTCTAATTTTCCAACGGATAAATGTTTCGGTTGCATGGTTATAATAATTCACAAAAATTTGTTGGCGACTTGAGATCGCCAAGGTGTTCTTTTAAACCCATGTGGATATGCTAGTTGGCTATGTTTTTGGCTATGATATATTATGATAAATCGCCAAATTTTGGATCTCCTACCCATACTCTTTCTCTGTCCGTTGAGAATAAATATATTCACTTTTAATTTCAAATTTGTGGAGGCTGGGAGCCCTTTGGGGCCTTCCAGTCTCAATTTTCTAACCGTCAGAAATGTTGTTCTGGTTTTATGATCTCTCAATAGAGAGTATTGTTATTTCATCCCTTTAAGGGATTTCTTATTTTTTATGAAAAAATGGCCATTTTCTAATTCACAAATTATGCTTAATAAAATCTAAATTTACATTCAACGATTTGTACATTATTTCCTGGAAACTCAATTGTTCAATTCATTCATTAATGGCCTAAATGAACATTCATATATTACACTACACAACTATACGGCTAATGACAGGGAAGCAAAGCTCTTCCTCACAATAAGTATCATCTGAAATAACTTTTCTCTAATTAAAGCTTGTAATTTCTATGTAAAATTATGTGCAGTGTTGAAATTATTATCCTTCTTAAATTATCTGTTATATCTTTATTCTATATGTCCTAATAATTTTTTTAAATCTTAACTGTTAAATATAAAGCAATTAAGTATGCTATAGTTATTCACCTGAATTGATTATGTACAAATATATTTTTATTTAATGCAACATATCTGTTGACTTTTAATTATATTAAGACTAATGCAGTTTAAATTATTTTAGCTACTCGTACAGCACATTTCACTCCATCAAGTAAGTATAAAGATTTCTTATACCTCAGAAAGAAATTTAGTTTTTTTTTCTAATTTAGAAATCTTAGACTATTTCACGGGTTTGAACTTTGTTTTTAAAAAAAATTAGTTTTTAAAGATTATACTAAAATTTTTGGCTTTCAAAAACTGAGAAATACTAACAACTTAAATTTATCTTTTTTTAATGTCTATTCATTTTATCAGTTATAATGTTTTTTTTTTTTTTTAAATTTTCTTTTGTAAGTTGTGCACTATTTTTATACTTTCTTTGTTTCACTCAAGAGTTTTTTTTTTAAATACACACAAATTAATAATATGTACTAGGCACTATATATTTTTAAAATGCTTACACTTTTTTATGGGTGGAAAAAAGTGAATTTAAACTACAACCTATGAAATTAAATAAATGAATCAAAATTAAACATATTTAAAATATCAAAATTAAACATAATTTAAAATTTGAAACACATTTTAATGAAGATGAGATTGAAGTATTTTGTACTCGAATTGTACATACTTTGAAAATCACAATTTATATAATAATTCTATTCAATTTTATGTTTTCTTTAGCTTCTGTTGCAATTCATACTGTAACTGTGCCAACTAGTAAGAACTTCTTTTGTTTTGCTTTATAAGTATCAGCTACCTAAAATAATTTTGCCCTATCTGAAACTTGAAATTTCTAAATTTATGTGCACTGTTGAAAATGTTAGCTTCATAAATAATCTGTTATAAACTTTTTTTATATTTGTCCCTACATTTATTTTTAATCTTAACCGTTTAATATAAAGTAATTAGGTATGCTCTAGTTATCCACCTGAATCAGTTATATAATACTTTTTTTTATTTAAAAAAGATTTACTTATATTCCTATTTCTATTTACTTTTTATTATATTAAGACTAATACGGTTTAAAATTATTTTAGCTACTCGCACAGCACATTTCACTCCTTCTAGTAAGTATAAATATTTCTTATACCTCCATTGGAGGTCAACTAGATTTATTTTTCTTTAAATTTAGAAATCTTACAATATTTCACAGGTTGAAATATTGTTTTAAAAAAAAGTAGTTTTTAAAGACTATACTAAAATTTTTGACTTTCAAAAACTGAGAAAAACTAACAACTTAAATTTATCTTTACTTAAATTCTATTCATTTCGTCAGTTAGAATGTTTGCTTTTTTTTAAAATTTCTTTTGTAAGTTGTGCACTTTTTTTATACTTGCTTTGTTTCACTCTTTTGAGTTATTTTTTTTAAATATGCACAAATTAAAAATAACTACTCGGCAGTATATATTTTTTAAATGCTTATGTTTTTTTTTTATGGATGGAAAAAATTAAATTTAAAATGTTACCTATGAAATTAAATAAATAAATCAAAATTAAACTTAAAATATATTATTCACATATTTTTTGAAAGGGGGAAACAGATTTAAAAAAAAAGATGAGATTAAAGTATTTTCAACTCAAATAGCACTGTTTTTTTATTTCATCATTAAATATTATAGAATATTCTCCACATTTTTAAAAATATTTTTTCATAAATTTTCTGTTTCTAATGTACTTTTAAAAGTCATAATATATATAATATTTATATTCAATTTTATTTTCTCTATAGCTTCTGTGGCAATTCATACAGTCACTGTGCCTACCAGTAAGAATTTCTTTTGTTTTGCTTTATAAATATTAGTTGCCTAAAGTATAACTTGATCCTGATTAAAGCTTATAATTTTTATGTAAAATTATGTGCCTTGTTGAAATTATAAGCTACTTAAGTAATTTGTTATATTTTTATTTTATTTTTCCTAACTTTTATTTTTAATTTTAACTGTTAAATATGAAATAATTAGGTATGTTGTTGCTATCCACCTGAATCGAATATATATATATATTTTTATTTAAACCGACATATTTACAATTTACTTTTTATTAGATTAAGACTAATGCAGTTTAAATTTTTTTAGCTACTCGTACTGCTCATATCACTCCTTCTAGTAAGTATAAAGATTTATGCCTTATACTTATGCCTCTTTTGGAGGAAATTAAGATTATTTCGTTTAATTTAGAAATCCAAGAAATTTCAATAATAATNATATATATATATATATTTTTATTTAACATATTTACAATTAACTTTTTATTATATTAAGACTAATGCAGTTTAAATTTTTTTAGCTACTCGAACTGCTCATTTCACTCCTTCTAGTAAGTATAAAGATTTATGTCTCTTCTATTGGAGGAAATTAAGATTATTTCGTTTAATTTAGAAATCCAAGAAATTTCAATAATAATGTATTTCAATTATAATTATACTTGCTTTGTTTCACTCTTTTGACTTATTTTTTTAAATACGCTTTTTTATGGATGGAAAAAAGTCAATTTAAAATGTGACCTATGAAATTAAATAAATGAATCAAAATTAAAAATGAAATAAATTATTCACATAGTTTTTTTAAAATTGGAAACACTTTTTAGTAAAGATGAGATTGAAGTATTTACTACTCGGATTGTACTGTTCTTGTTCACAAAATATTATAAAATTTTTTAAAATCAATATTTATCAAAATATATTTTCATGAATATTTCTGTTTGTCATATACTTTTAAAAGTCACACTTTATATAATAATTATATTCAATTTTATGATTTCTTTAGCTTCTGTTGCCATTCATACTGTAACCGTGCCAACCAGTAAGAACTCTTTTGTTTTTCTTCATAAGTATTAGCTACCTAAAGTATTTTTGTCCTATCTGAAGCTTGTACTTTTCATGTAAATTTAAGTGCAGTGTTGATAATGTTAGCATGTAAATACGCTTCTTCTGTTTGTCCTATTGTTTTTAATTTTATTTATTAAATATATGTAACTAGGTATGCTGTAGTTATCCACCTTTATCGATTATAAATAAATATTTTTTTTAAATTTAAACCAGCATATTTACTATTGACATTTTATTATATTAAGACTAATGCAGTTTAAATTATTTTAGCTACTCGTACAGTACATTACACTCCTTCTAGTAAGTATAAAGATTTCTTATACCTCCATTTGAGGAAATATAGATTTATATTTTTCTTCTAACTTAGAAATCTTAGAATATTTCGCAGGTTTAAACTTAGTTTCTAAAAAAAATTTGTTTTTAAAGTATGTACTAAAGTTTTGGACTTTCAAAAACTGCGAAAATTTAACAACTTAAATTTATTTTTACTTGCATTTTATTCATTTTATCAATTATAATGTTGTTGTTTTTTAATTTTCTTTAGTAAGGTAGGAACTTTTTTCATACTTGTTTTGTTTCACTGTTTCGAGTTATTTTTTTAAATACGCACAAATTAAAAATAAGTACTAGGCACTATATATTTTTAAAATGCTTACCCTTTTTTATGAGTGAAAAAAATTAAATTTAAAATGTAACCTATGAAATTAAATAAATAAATCAAAATTAAACATGACATAAATTATTCATAATATTTTAAAATTGGAAACACATTTTATTAAAAATGAGATTGAAGTATTTACTGCTCAAATTGTACTGTTTTTTGGTCCATCACAAAATGTTATAATATTTTTATGATCAACGTTTATCAAAATATATTTTGAATGTGAAATATATGAATATTTCTGTTTGTAACGTACTTTTAAAATTCAGAATTTATATAATAATTATATTCAATTTTATGTTTTCTTTAGCTTCTGTTGCAATTCATACTGTAACTGTGCCATCCAGTAAGAATTCCTTTTGTTTTGCTTTATGAAGAATAATTACCAAAAATAATTTTGCCATATCTGATGCAATTTCTATTTAAATTTATGTGCGATGTTGAAAATGTTAGCTACATAAATAATCTGTTATACCTTTCTTCTATTTTTCCTTGCATTTATTTTTAATTTTAACTATTAAATGTAATTTGGTATGCTGTAGTTATTCACCTGAATCTATTGTATATTAAATTTTTTTTATTTAAATCTACTATTACTTTTATTATTATATTACTATTTACTTTTTTATAATATTAAGATTAATACAGTTAATTTTATTTTAGCTACCCGTATAGCACATTTCCCTCCTTCCAGTAAGTATAAAGATTTCTTATAACCTCCATTGGAGGGCAGTTAGATTTATTTTTCTTGTAATTTGGTTCATACTTTGTTTCTAAAAAAATTTGTTTTTGAGGCCTGAACTACAAAAGCTAACATCTAAAATTTATAAGTTCTTTGTATAATTTTTTTTCTTTTTTTTTTTCCTTTTCAGAGACCTGCAGTTTTTTTTAAATTTGCTTTTTTTTCGTTATTTTTTTGAATTTCTCAGGTATTTACAATAACAGGAAGTCATTTAAAAAAGTTTTACTGATTATAAACTGAATATGGACTGAACCAAAACTTAGCTTGAAATATAATAATTGGAAATCAGTATTTTTTTAGTATAAAAAATAATTAATGCTTAAAAGATGCTGAAATATCTACCAACTTGAGGGTGCTTTTTACTAAGGTGCTTTTTTTATTGGGTGTTTTAAAAATCTGCTTAATTTTCCCTTTTTCAAAAAAGATGTTTTCCTTTCTATGTGGATTTTCCCCATGTATTATGCAAAAAGTGTGATTTTCGCTTTGTTCTATTCAATGTTTTCACAATTCCTTCAACCACAATCCATTTTGGCCCATAGCGTATGAAATCGCCAATAATTTTACATGTTTAATGAAATACTTGCGAGTCTGCATGTGCGTCTACTGAGCTGGGTTCGGTGAGATTATTGCAGTCTCATTTGCAACACTGCTGTATTTTAGCTCAATTTCAGGTTTCATTTTCCACCCTCTGATATCGAACCGAAAAATCTCTTGATCATTTTATAAGGGCTAATATAATCAAGAAAAGAGTTGGTTGTCAGAAACTATAACTGGGACTACAGTTATTTTATCATGATCATGTAAGGTCTTTGAAAATTATTTTGCATTTTGTTACTGTATATAGTGCTTAAAAATATTTTTTGAATGCTTAAAAGGTACTTATTTATTGTTGAAAAATTTGTCTATGCACCCTTATATTATTACACTCAATTTAACATGACTTGTCGTTTCTATAAACAAGAATCTTTCTCAGTGTCTAAATGCAAAAGGACAGTCCAAAAATAATGAGACAAACACCTTGTAATATGAAATAAAACTAGTTTAATCAGTAAAGGAAGAAGAACTATCGTGAACAAGCTATAATGAGAAGGGAGCTAAAAAAAACAGGTATGAGGAGGTTCGAGGGGAACCCCTGGTTACAAGATGTGGAAATCAGATAAGAATTGATTTCCATTGGAAAAGAATGAGATACTAAAAAGAACATTAACTAAAATATTTAAACTATTCTGCTACTTTACAACTTGCATGCCAACCCCCTCACACCTGTTTTTTTTATCTCCTTTTTTTTATTGTTAGGTTAGCTAGAAAGTAATTTCGTTTTTCAATGTGAAAGAAAACTCAATTTTTTCTCAATAAAAAATTAACTTTAACCAGTCAAATATCTTCCATACTGTTCAACGACCTTTTGCCATCGCTCTGTTAAGTTTAGTTCTCTCGCTTATTCAGGTCTTTATCAGCAAAAAACTCTATCAGCTAAAAATTGTACCACTTATTAAATTGTACCGTTATTCTTTATCGAACTTGGAAATAATTGATATCGAAAGATGCAAGGTCTATTCTGGACCTGATCTACATGGGAGATCCCAAAGAAATCAAGATCCACTACAAATAGGAGAGGCCTTAAAAATCTTTAACAACGCAAACAAAGTTGTTGGAGATTGATTGGGAAGTGGTGTAGCATCCCCCATATAGCCCTGACCTTTCACCATTGGATTGTCATCTATTTCACAATTTTCAAAATGTTCTAAATAATAAAAGCTCAAGTAATAACAATGACATCAAATTGCACCAGGTTTAGGTTTTTTGCTGTCAAAGTATAAAATTGATTAAAGCAAATTTTAAGATAAAAACTGTAAAATTATAAGTCAAAATAGAAACACTCTAAAAGCAGCAAAAACTAAAATTTTCTTATGTAAACAATTTAAATAAAAAAGTACAAACCAAAAGCAAACAAAACGAAATTATATCAAAAAGAAGCAAAACGACCAGAAATTATATGAGCACAGAATCATGAAGTGACGAGAAAGGTGGCAAAAGGTCATCGAATAATACGAATTATATTTAACTGATTTAAATGTGCTGATTTTTTGTCTATAAATTTTTTTTTATTTATAATACTAAAAATTGGAAAATGTTTTCTTGACAATCATCTTGTTCAATATAATTTAAATATTGGAAACACAATCAATCCTTAATGTATTTTTTTTAATATATATATGAAACACCTAAATTCAGGTTTTTATTCTTTTGCTAATATCTGTTTATATATTTGCATAGCTTTAAATATGACTCATGAAGTAGAAGAAACAACAAAAATCATAACTATCACAGCACCTAGTAAGATTTTATTTTTACTTTTTGTTAATGTAATTATTAATTTATTAAAACAACTTTAACTTAATATTTACAAATTCTGTGTTAAGTTTGATCTGTTTGTAAAATAAGAAACATATTATTCATATATTAATATAAAATATAACTCCTTTACAATTTTCATTTCATAGTAGGATCTTTAGACAAGATGTTCTGTAATTACTAACTTGTTTGATTGCCAGAAAAAACAAATAGAAGTTGAAAGGCATTTATTAAAAGCACTTCTAAATTTCATCAGGCAATCAAACTGGTTTTTAGGATTTTTTATTCTGTTTTCCCAATTATTTTATTGTGTTCTGGTCTTTTTTTTAGGGCAGTCATTATGGAATATCCTGTTTACTGAGTTACTTTAAAATATTTCATATAAACTTTTTTAATTTAACTTTTTGTTGTTAAGAGTAGTTATAATTGCAATTGAAATTTATGTATGAGCAATTTATGAACTATCAATTTATGTATGAGCAATTTTACGACCAATTAGGTAGCTTAAAGCACCTATGTTACTTCTGTAGCAAGTTCAAACAATTTTTTTACTTACATTTTTTATTTGTGCATTTGATTGCTTTGTCATTTACCTCATGAATAATTAACAAATGAGTTTAATTATTATCTCCCATTGTACAAGTATGGGAAAGCTTTATATTGATATTTTCTTTTCTAATATTTAAAATAAGTTTTCAAACTTCATGCAACTTCCATGAAGTTTTTTGTGCATTCGATTGCTTTGTCATTAACTATCATGAATAATTAACTCTCATGAATATTTTCTCCTGTTATTATGGTATGGGAAAAGTGCTTAAAGGATTTTCGTTTTTTATAATCCCTTTAAGGTGCTTTTTTCATTAGTGTTTTTAAAAAGTGTTTAATTTCGCCTTTTCGGAAATCAGTTTTTTTTCTTCTTTATCATGTCCATTTTCGCCACGTATTGTGCAAGAACCTGCTTTTCACATTGTTCTATTCAACATTTTCACAATTCATTCAACCACTACTCATTTCAGTATACCGTCGGTCCATAGCGTATGAAAGCGCCAATCATTTTACATCTTTGATTAAATACTTACGAGAGTGTGTCGACTGAGCTGGGTTTGCTGAGATTCTTGCACTCTCATGTGCAACTCTGCTGCATTTTACAAGATATTCTCAAATTCAGCCTTCATTTTCCACCCTCTGAAATCGAACCGAAAAGTCTCTCGATCTCTTTATGGTGGCTAATATAATCAAGATAACAGTTCTTTGTCAGAAACTTGTTATTTTATCATGATCATGTAAAGACTTTGAAAATTATTTTGTATTTTGTTCATGTATATAGTGCTTTAACATAATTTTTTGTGTGCTTAAAAAGTACATAAAAGGTGCTTATTTTTTGTTGAAAGATTTGGCCATGCACCCTGTACAACTAACAACCCTGCAAGCACATAACCTAATGTGAAAGTGTTATGAATGGATTTAGTCTGCAGACATAATCACAATGTATCACAAATGAACCACGTCAAGATACATAGTTTAAAGTGAAAGTGTTATGCTAAGAATGGACCTGGTTCTGTCATAGTTTACCATATTCAAATATAGGTGGTACTCTGTTTCTTATTTTAATGATGGAACACTTTTAGTTCATTGTTCATTAGGGTTCCTTGCTGAATCGGTTAAAGTAAATGTTTTTTTTTTTTGCAGAAATATGTACTTATAATGTTTGGTATCATTTTTAGCACATCATTTTCCATTGTGGACGCATCATCCACCTAAAAGAAAGACTATACATCACGATGTTACACGTGAGTATTTTTTACTTAGTGTTTTTCTTTTCGCACTTTTTGAAACAAATTATGTATTCATAAAAAAAAACTTATTTTCTAGTAACCTATTACATTGCTTATACAGGGTGCATAGCGTTTTTAAAAAGTGCTTAAAGGTGCTTAATTTTGATTTTGTTTTTAAAAGCCCTTAAAGCTGCTTTTTTTTTTATTTGGGGTTTGTAAAAAAGGGCTTAATTTTCTATCATTGCTGTGTCAAATGTTGTACTAAATTACAAAAAAAAAAAAAATTATGATTTTCACAATTTTCTCTGCAATATTTAGCAAAAACTAGTTATTTTATAAGATTTTGTAAAGTTTTTGAAAATTTTTTGATGTTTTTTTATGATGATTTTTTTATGTTTATAAATTAAGAACTTTGAATAATAATAATAAAATTTATTACAGCACAGATCCTAATTATGTTTTTTTTTCTGGAATGTGATTAAAAATATTTTTTGAGTGCTTAAAAAGTGCTTATTTTTTGTTAAAAAATCTGGTTATGTACCCTGTTATATTTATGTTAAATTTTTTGTTAAAAAAAGTGTAGTTCTTTCTGAATGAAATTATGTATTCTTTATCTCTTTATAACAGGCAGACCAACATAATTTTTCACACTTGTCTTAGTTTTAATTACTAAGTTTAATGGCATTCTCTCATTAGTATGTTTTTAAACTTCTTAGAATTGTTTAATTTTGAAAAACAAAAGTTCATTAAACTATATTACCATTGTTTTTAATAAGTATTATTTTACTTATCAACTTGAACAACTACAAAATTCAGGATTTTTGAGCAATTCTTAATTCTATTATTTATTTTTTTCAATGCACTCATTTGATAAATATGATATTGAGATATGAAATGAATTCCGTGTTGAAGTGTGGTCAAAGTTTTGATGTTATCTTAGTATTTTCTGCTGCTTTAAGTTTTTTATATGCAGAGCATACCATTTCACCCACAGCGGGTCCCGCAGTGGACTGATCGTTAAGACACGGTTCCCAGCAGATCACCGAAGTCAAGCATCACTGACTATGGTCAGTGTGCGGGTGGGTGACCACTTGGATCAGCCTGCGTAGGGACCGAGGGTGTGCGGTATGGGTCCTTGTTAAACTGTTCTACCATAAAGTGCTCGACTTCGTGTGCAGGTCGTCGGGCTACCAGAGGATCAAAATTGCGATGGTATGTCTTCGGATCATCCTCAGGGATGTTTCCCAGACCGTCGCCAATAGCCCATTGTGCAGCTCTAGTGCGACATAAAGGAACAACAACCATTTCTGTTAAAAATTAATTCAACTTTTTTTAATCTAAGGTTTTATTTATTGTGAGTTGTATCCATTTTGAAAACTAATTGTTCAGTAAGAAAAGAAACTGCACATTTCACTGTCATAGCCAATAGCTTGATATCCAAGAATAGAACCATATATTTTTTATCAGCATTTAATTTATACCATATATAAGTTTTATTAATGGTGATTAACTTATTTTTATTGCCTTTTATATAGGAAGAACACGTAAATACACTCTTCGTACAATACGAACTAGTACATTGACCATCCATCCAAAAGGTAATATTTAAACTAAATTTTCATTATGTGTTTTTAATGCTAAATGAGTTTTTTTTTCATAGCATTTTATTGAAATTGCTATTTCAAATTTTGATATGCATATTTTACAAAACAAGTCACTTCTTTTTTAACCTTTAATAATGCATGATTTTAGAGTTACGCATTTTAATTCTGTGTGTTGTAAATTTGCGTAATTGCCATTTAAGCATTTTGCATTTCGTCCAGTTTATTTAGAAGTTTCTCCTTAATACCTAAATATTTCACTGAATAACAAATGCAAAAACTTTTTTTTGGTACAAAAACGAAAGGTTAAAGAATCCATCCTCCTCTTTGTACTGTTGCTACTCAGTCTCGATCACACATAACATATACACTCGGATGCGGTACGGTAATCTTAATACAACTTTCCCAGTTTCTCACAAAACAGCAATGAAACAACTAGTAGTATACCATTCAGCAGATTATATCGCCGATAAAATTCTGGTGAGGCAGTACTGTAGTGTATCTACCACTACAAAAATACAATTCTAATTCACTAGTGTATAAGACAATATATACTAGTGAATTAGAATTGTATTTTTGTAGTATGCAAGTATGTTGACTCAATACTATGTCGGGGTACCTTTTCTTAGATTTTAGATGCCACTCTCCCCATAAAAGGATTCTCATGTTTCTGCAAAAGTCAATATTTTTCAAATTCACTAAAAATATTATGTTTTTACTCTAAACTCTTCAAATGTGAACCTGTCTGGTTTAGTTCTTTAATAATGAATATATATTGTATTTTTTACAGCAACAGTATGATATTTAAAATTTTTAGTTATTTTCTTTCAGTAACTACTGTTGTAGAAATTGTGACACCAGAACCTACAGTTACAGTTCCTGTTTTCCTTCCATGTAAATGTTTTGTTTTTTACTGTTTCAGTTGTTAAGTATGTTATTTTGTATTAATTTTTTTAAACTTCCATGATGCATAGCGTTTTTAAAAAGTGCTTAAAGGTGTTTAATTTCGTTTTTTAAAAGCCCTTAGAGGTGCTTTTGTCACTGGGCGTTTTTAAGAAGTGCTTAATTTACACTTTTCGAAGATTTGATTTTTTTTCCTTATCATGTCGATTTTTGCCTCGTTTATGCAAAAGCGTGGTTTTCACATTGCTCCATCCACATTTTCACAATTCATTCAACCACAATCCATTTCGGCATACTGTCAGTCCATAGCGTATCAAAGCGCTAATCATTTTACAGGTTTGATTAAATACTTGCAAATCTGTATGTGCGTAGAGGGAGCTGGGTTCGGTGAGGTTATTTCACTCTCATGTGCAACTCTTCTGCATTTTGCAAGATATTCTCAATTTCATGCTTCATTTTGCCACCCTCTGATATCGAACCGAAAAATCTCTTGATAATTTTTTTCATGATTAATATAATGAAGAAAAGAGTTATTTGTCAGAAACTAGCTATTTTATCATGATTATGTAAAGTCTTTGAAAATTATTTTGCATTTTGATAATGTAGTGCTTAAAAATATTTTTGAGTGTCTAAAAAGTACTTAAAAGGTGCTTATTTTTTGTTGTAAGTTTTGACTATGCACCCTGATTTCTCCAAAATGTTTTTATATGAGCTGCGATGACTCAGGGGATAGAGCGTTAGCCTTGAAATGAGGTGAACCGGGTTCGAATCCCAGACGATACGACCATCCATTCCAGTCCATAACCACAGTGGTGACGTGAAATATCCTCAGTGGTAGACGGATCATGGATTACAGTCTCCTTGCCGTCAGGCTAACCATGGGAGGTTCTCGTGACCTTCCTCTCCATGTAACGCAAATGCGGTTTAGCTCCATCAAAAAGTCTTACTTGATACTAAATAATACTTAAAATACTTGATCCAGGAGTTCCCTTGTCTTCTGGATTGGGTTCAAAATTACAAGGCTACGGATTTGAACATTGGTAAACCCTAAATTGGGTCGACTGTTCAACGATGATTACATATTCTGTTTTATTTTTAGGTCATTCTTCTTTAAAAATATTGCTTGATTTCTTTACCAATGTCATTAAAAAAATTATTTTTAATTCAATTATTATCCGTTTTGTCAGAAAGATATCTTAAAAAACTGAATGATAACAGAATAATTTTACAGTGATAACTTATGATTAATTAGATTAAAATGTGCATTGTCTACATTTGGGCAAATTACGAATTGTATTTTGTTTGGAATTAAGAATTGCATTTATTGAAAAAAAAACTTAAATTATAATTTTTTATTTATTTGTCTCCATTACCTTACCCATGTTTATTATTTATCTATTTATAAAAAAAATCTAATTATCTGTTGCATAATTTTAGTTGTTTACTTTGCCTTATTACTTAACTAATTGAACTTTTTTCAGCTAAAAAATTTACTCATCATCAGAAGCCAACTACAGTGAGTGAAATTCTAATAACTCCTACAAGTAAGAAATTTTACTTATTTTTTCTTTTTAATTATTATCTTTATCTAAATATGTTTATCTAAATTATTACATTCATTTTTCTTCTTTTAAACTTATTTTACTTAAAATCCCATACTTTGTGGCAAAAGTTCTAGCAGACTATTGTAATCTGTCAAATAATTCTTATTATCTATAGCTTCAACTTTAAACACAGTGTCCCTGCTGAAATAACACTCACGATTTTAATCATGATTTAAATAGGTTAATTAAATCCTGCTAACCATGCATGCATTCATTGCAACATGCATTGGGGCATATACATTTATTTTTAACTAATAAAACAATTTACATTTTTGAAAATATTTATTATTGTCTCATATATTTAAAACCATTTATTTTAAATTCATTTTGTGTTCGTATTTGTTTCAGCTTCTATTGTTGTGCACAGTGTCCCTCCTGAAACCACACTGACAATTCCCATACCTCTAAAAAGTAATTATGTTTTCACTTTATTAAATAAGTAAATTTTAAAGTTTTTGAAAAGTTAAAAATGACATTCAATAATTCGAATATTCCGAATATTGTTTAACCAATTCAGCATTGCACCCTCTTCTAGAAAGTTCACTGAAAGGGAAATGTACTTATTCTTACACTTATGGAAGTTCTTTGTATGTTAAGCATAAATTAGAATTGTGAAGCAATTGGCAGTAACGCCTGCTCCAAAAAAGCTGTGCAGATGTCCCTCTCAAACAGTAAGAATGGAGTCATGATGGATCAGGGGATAGAGCGTTCGCCCTAAAATAAGGTAAATCGTGCTCGAATCCCAGCATTGGCTGGTCGATACAAATCTGCACCCAGCTTGCACTATCCACAATGCTGACGTGAAATATCCTCAATGGTAGAGGGATCATAGGTCTAACCGTGGGAGATTCTCGTGGTCTTCCTCTTCATGTAACGCAAATGTTCGTTAGTTTTATCAAAAAGTACTCCACAGAGGCAAATTTCTCGCAATACTTGATCTAGGAATTCCCTTGTCTTCTGGTTTGGGTCAAAAGTACAAAGCTACATGGAGTTGAACATTAGTAGTCATGAACCCAAAAATTGGATCGGCTGTTCATTGACGGTTATAAAATAAAATAAAAAGCAGTGTCATGGTGGCTCAGGAGATAGAGCACTCTCCTCCTAAATAGGTGAGCCAGGTTTCAATCCCAATGATGGCTATTAAATTTAAATTCTGCTACCAGCTCAAACTAACCACAGTGCTGGTGTAAAATATTCTCAGTGGTAGACGAATCAGGGGTTAGAATCCCCTTGCTGTTGGGCTTTATGTGGGAGATTTTCATGGTTTTCCTCTCTATATAATGCAAATGCCGGTCAAATCCACCAAAGAGCCTTCTATGGAAGCTAATTTGTTTCAATGAGTTCCCATGTCTTCTGGACTGGGTTCAATTTTACACGTTACGCAGTTAAACATTAACAGCCGTAAATTCAAAAATGGGTCTTATGTTCAATGCTAGTTATAAAATAATGCTAAGAGCTCATCTAGGGGGACTGAACCTAGACTGTTTGCAACTCTTTCAACGTAGTTTAAGAATTAAATTATCATAGTTTGTGATACTTTGCACTTGGTTATATTGTCACATATACTTCATTCTTAATGCTGTATTGGTTTTTTCTAATTTAATTAATTGTCATAAAATTTCTATTAAATGAAATAAATTATTTGAATGACGTGAATTATATATTACTTTCAAATTATTTTATTTCATAATGTCTTATCTACTATAATAACTAGAAAATATGAATCTTTCTTCTGCTATTTTTTTTAACAATTAATAGTCAATTGAACAGTCAAATTTTATTGTGATAAAAATTTTGATGTTATAAGTGCTTTTATAACCTAAGTGTAGTTTTCAGGGAAACAGTAAAAATTCTGCTCGGTGAAAATTTTAATTTTGATAAATTAATTTTTTTTCTAAAAATTTAAACTTATTTAGTTGAATTATGTTATGGCTAAAATTTTGATGCTGGGAAGACTTTCAAAGTAAAAAATAAAGTTTTCACAGAAACTTGTCTGATGTCTGAGAAAATCTATAAAATAGTATTTTCAATACAACCTCTACTTGCAAAGAGCAAAGCAAAGAGGTGAAAGAAACACAAAACAGAGGTGATTGTTCCATAGTTTTTCCAGTCAGTAGTGCCTCCCTTATTGAACTTTATATTTATGTTCAAAATTATGTGAGATAAAATACCAGGTTTCCAAATCAGAAGGCAGCAAACCTTATAATTTTATCTGTTTTCATTCTTCTTAATTGATTCTTTAATCATTATTCATTGTTGGAACACTCTTATATTATAGTCTGATAATATAATTAATTATTAAAAAACTCTAAACTCAGTGGCGCGACAGCCTATAGAGGGCCAAGGCCTACTGTGCCCTTCTCAGTTTTCTTGACCTTGGGCTCTGGGGTGCAAGAGCAGATGTTCCGGTCAAGTGGTCAGCTGAACGCGGAACCCCTAGTTCCCAAGCAGGCTTGGTACTCATTTGTTGACCCCCTGAAGGGATGAAAGGGGGAGTCAGCCTTGCCCAGCCGAAGACAGTGTGAAGCGCTACCGCCCAGCCATCAGGCGTCGTAATTAATTATTATATATATTAAAAAAATAACTTTCAATAATAGGTGAGTTTTTATAGAGTACACATTTTATGCAGAAAAACTTGTCTTTTTTAAAACCTATTTATTTAAATTAATGGATAATTTATTTCAGCACCAAAAATCACTCAACATTTTTTCACTACTACTACAAGAAAAATTGCGTTCACAGCTTCACGTAAGTATTTCCATGCATTTGCAAAATTTAATTTAAACAAGCAATTTTTTAATAAACTTTTATATATAGCATTTTCATTTTTAGTATGAATTCTTAATGATTGTATGCATGTATGAATTGTAATGATCTTATGTATGATGGGGAATGCTTAAAACACTATTAAAAAATTGGATTTGGTTAAAAAAACATATCTATATTGGCTAGCACACAAAAATTTTTTTTTTGATAATACAATGTTACATTTTATTAAATTGTGCCTTAGAATTTTATTGTGCCCTATAAATAAATCAATATTTCTATCAGTGGTATATATCAGTGGTTTCTTTATGAAATTAAATTTTAATAATGACAGAATTAGAAAACATTTGTTGTTAATGTGCTTAGTTAATTAGAATTTTAATCTTTATAAATATTTTATTATCTTTAATTAGATATTATGACTGCATGTTTAAATTCATAAAATAACTCATATCTCATAGAAAAATTTTCTTTTGTAAGCATTTTGTTCTACTAAGTGGAAGTTTTATTAGTTAAGTGAGTTTTTTTTTCAATCATATAGCTTATACTGCAATTGAAGATTTTTCTGCTCCATCTACTGTGATTATTACAAAAAAACCAATTAGTAAGTCATTTTTTATTCAATTTTAATTGATTTTATGAATTCTTGATTTGAAACTTTCTGTTTGTTTAAAACAACTGAATGTTGTATTGTAGCTTAATCATGCTAGTTGTATAAAAATCTCTGAACTTTGTTTCAGTGACTACTCATTCAGAAATTTTGACCACCAAAACATCTCGTTACCCTATTCCAAGTAAAGTATTTTATTTATTATTTATAATGAACATTACCACTTAAAAATTACATGTTCAACTTAAAATGTTTGTTTAGCTATTTTACATTTGTCTTCAAAATTTTAATTTTTTATGGGCTTGTATGCTGATTACAGAACTAAAAAAAGCTTTTGAAAATTCTGTAGAATAGCCCAATTTTCCCATTTTTTAAAGACACTTTAGTTTTTAGCACATTTCTTTTCACTTTTTTTTTCTAGTTTTTTCTTTTTTGCAAATTTCAAGCATACCTGATTTTTTCACTAATGAACACATTCATTTCCTGAATAATTAGTTTTAAAGAAATTTTTATGATATTTTTAATTACTATTAAATTTTGTTTTATTTATTTTATTTTTTCCTATAAAATTTCATAACAAAATATCAATTGAATATTTCATGTTCCGTATGCATATTAATACAAACAATATATATTAATACAACAATGCATATTAATGCAACAATATAGGCAGAGGGTTAACATGAAATCTTAATTGAAACCTCACAAAAATGAAAATCTTCTGAAGAAGAAAAGATTTTTAGCAGTTTTTTCAGAGTCTATGCTAGGGGTGCACAACCTTTTTGAGTGAAGGGCCACTTGCACAGCAGGTTGGCTAACGAAGGGCCGCACATGTATTTAGACATGTTAATGACAAATGTAATAATGTTTATTTAAACATTATCGTTCCATTTTTTTATTAATAAACTTAGTAATATCAATAAATTTGTAGTGTTCCATTATTAGAATTCATTCAAAAATAAAAAAACTTATACTTTTTTTTTTTACAAAAAAAAAATTGCTATTTTTATCATATGAACAATAGATTTATCAAAATAAATAAGGAAAGAAATATTTTTTTTTTATCATATCATGCAATATGAAAACTCATTTTAGAATTAAATTCTAATAAATTAAAAAAAAACTGCAATGCCCACAGAATGAAAGTAGGAAAAAGTTTAGTCGTAATTAAGTAATATAAATTCAAATTAAATATTTTAATTGAAGAAAATTTATAGGTTTTAAACAAAAGCCTAAAATAAAAACAAAACTGTGATAGTTCAAAATAAAATTCAATGCTTATTTTGTAATGTACTTTATTATTTTATTTTATTAATTATTAGATTTTTTATATCGTAAACATTTTCCTTTTTTTTATCGAAAAAGATCACTTAAGCAACAAAAAATTGAAATCTAAACTACAAACAGTGAGCAGTTTAAAAATTCACGTTTTCCGCCATTTTATGAATTTCTCAAGTTGCAATAACATTGCATTTAAATTAGGGAGG